ATTCTTCTTTTGACTTTCAGGTGTGGAAAGAAGACTATGGTGGACTGTTTTCTTGGCTGTGAACTTGTTGAGTGGCTTCTGCAGGTTGGTTTAGCTCAGGACCGTGGCGAGGCAGTACTCTACGGGACACGGTTACAAGAGGGTGGTGTGCTCCAGCACATCAAGCAGGAATACAGCTCCCAAGATAGTCCGCTGTATTATCGCTTCATGGCATAAGCTGCTTGCATTAAAAAATGAGCTGCTTTTATTTTTTTTTTTTTTTTAAAGCCTAAAAGAAATTTCAGTCAAAACAGGAAATTCCTGTACAGCAAAAGACTCGATGTACTGTTCCCTTTAATGCAAAAAAAAAAAAAGGCAGCTGTGTGTAGATTGTCTCAAAGGGAAGGAGGAGTGTATAATAACCACCTCAGTCTCTATATCCAAAATGACAAGTTTATTTCTGAGACACTGTGTCAAAGCCACATTGCTAAAACTTGAACATGAGCCGCACATATATTCCTATTCATCCAAATCTATTGTTTGGAGGCAACATCAAAAGGAGATACAACTTAAAAGCAGCCAAATAATTCCTGACTATGTGAAAAAGCTGTGACTCGCCTACTGTTTAATGCAACACACTTCAGGAAAATCAGGTCAGGCTTCAGATTGTGATGGATGTTTACAGAGAAGAGGTATTCTTTAAGGTGTGTAGGTGTATACTGTATGTGTCACACTGGAACTTCACTGGGATTGTGATTCAAGGGAAGAAGCTTCCAAAAGTAGATTCTTTTCTTTTTTTGTTTTGTTTTGGAGTGCGGGACACTTTATTTGTATGTTTTATGCCATTCTGTGAGTGATGAAGCACAAAGAGGTGTTCTCATTTAAAAAAAAAAAAAGTGCGTGTGAGGGGGGGAAAAAAAAAAGTCTCCTCTGCTTAATCCAGTCATTGATCTACTAGGACACCTTTGTGTTTCCTCACTCTTATCAAGAATATTTTATTTTGCCAAATAAATAAAGGGAAAGGACTCACATTTCACCAGTTAATTATTAATTTCGCATGAAGCAAAGGTATCGTTGCTTTGGAAACCTGTACTTGAACAGGTCTTGACAGTGATGTACATTATTCATACAGCTTTAACAAACAGCAACTGTCCAGTTCGATCAACATTTTTACTTGCTTTTGTTTGTCCATTTCAGTAACCACATAAAAAAGTAAACGTTAGCAAGAAAATCTAAGTCTTCACCTGAAAATGGGTTTTGTTTTAGAAGTTTGAGATGCTGCAGTTATTTTTTCCCCTCTCTCAGGTAAACAAGCAAATTAATTAATTTTCTAACTCTGATATTAACAGAATGTATGTAAATATCTAAGTTACTGTAATATAATGTGTATCATCACACATTGGCTAATAAAATAAAAGGTTTATTACCAAACCTTAACTCGTGTATTCATGAATTTGTTATTGAACAATTGAGCGAAAACTTAAACCTGCATTTTATAATGTGGCATTTATGAATTTTTCACTCTGATCAATTTTATGAACAATGGTTTTGAATATTACTCAGTTGTTTCATACTAGTTCATTGTACAAGAAGGTTTTGGTTGTTTTTTTGTTTGTTTTTTAAAGGCCTGATTTAAAAAAGAGTCTAGTGTCAAACTGTGGAATCGATTTGTGGTTGCATGTAGATGTGGGCCTCTGTTTTTACAGTAAACAGACATTTCCTTCTGAACAGAACTTAAAAACAAGTTCACCCGAAAATCTGGATTGACGACACCACGTAGAAGTTGTTTTTCCATGTTTCATAAGCTACAGTACCTTATACCTTTTGTGATCCAGGTGCACACTTTTAGCAACTAGTGACCACAAAGGCCGAGTTACATATTTTGGTAAATTGTGGGCTTGAATTCATTGTGCAGTGGAAATGCTCCCAAAATGTTCAGATTGTGTTATGAAAAATGAGACTTTGAGCACTCATATACTTCAAAGGTTTTTACTGTGATTCTATTAGAAACATGGTTTGTTAGAAATGTCTGCAAAGTATAGTCATTGTTTTACATTCAAGTTTATTACAAGGGGCACATCCATTAAAAACACCACACTGAGTATTTAATTCAGTAAATTAGTAAAAGTGGATGTCTTGTCAAATCTAAAATAAAACTTGCTATAAAGGTGAGAACGTTTTAGCCAAGTTATGCTTTTACATTTTGGCAATTCTAAAAAAAAACAAAAAAACTTTAACAGCCCAATTAATTTAAACATTTTTAGCTTTCATCATTTACTTTCACAGGTTCACAACCGCTGAAGATGAACAGTTTAAATAAAGACCTGGAATACAAAGAAGAACCAAGGAGATCCCTGCTGGTAGCTGGAGTCAAAGAGTGCTTCAAGTGCTTGGGTTGAACTCAAGTACTGCACCTCAGGCAGATCGAAGTTCTGTGAGCACCACAGATGGCACACTTCCTGTGGTCATGAGCATGCCCTGATGCCATATCCACATCCCTCAGGATATTAGTCATTGTCTCTGCAGTGATATGACCTTCTGTAAATAAAACCATAGCATGCATAAACAGTGGTGGTGACCATAAAACCATTGTCCTGATGTTATCTTAGTTTCCCCTCGGTGCAGCTATTCATTAACCAGTACCCTTTTCCTCTCCCAGCTCCTGCAATCGTCCATTGTGGCTGCAGGTGAGAAGATGAAATGCATCCCACCAGCACTTACTTCATTCATAGGCCCTCATTTGTGGATGTTCCCATCTTAATTGTGATGCTACACTGCTTTGAGATGTTACGATATCCACCTATAGAAGAGGAAAATGTGAATAGCCATCAACCAAGTAGCACAGTGTTTTTGTTCTAAAACTCATGATGATACACTGTGTTCATGGGGTTCTCATTTAGTTCTGCACCACTTCAGCTACATTGAATAAATGAATGAGTTTATTGCCATTGTATGTCCAATGTAATTACAATGTCTCTCCTTTAAGAACTGCAAACAACCATTTACATTTGCATATTTACACGATTTAGACACTGAGAGTAAGGTTGTACTGAAGGCATTAACTTAGCCAAAAAGGTTTAATAAACTCAGAAGAACAAATAAATACATTTTTAAAAAGATCCATCCCTTACATGTACTGTAAGCGGGACAGCCAGCGCTCTCTTGTGGCTAAAATGCCCAAGTGCTATATGACATGTTTCATTTATTCTTTGTCCAATTACTTTTGATCTTTCACACTACAAAATGGCTGCATCTTGCCCAAAAACTCTGTCAGTCTTTCAATTTAATTTGCTTATTCGGGTGAACAGTCCAGCTATTGTGTTGCAATACCAGCTGAATTCCTGGTGAGCTGATGGAATTTAGAAACAAGGTCTATGGAAATAGTTTCCCTTTGTGACAGTTTATCAACATTACATGTTGGTGCAGCTAAATCTGCTCTGGATTTTCATTTCTGGTTTCAGGTTTCAGTCTTTCTGTGCTTGAATGACGCAGGATATGCTTTTTCATAGTGAAGCTTTTGTTATAGTGAAAATACAGGATGTACCTCTACACTAACTTACTCTGTAAACATTTAATCAACTCAAGTTTTTGGACACAGTGTAAGTTGTGGTAAAAGGATATATGGCAACCTATTTGATCTTTAACTGTTTTTCTTTTTTTCATTTGACGACTTTTAGAGTCTGTAAGAGGTCAAGAATAGTAAAAAATACAATTATTGATGAAGGATTGAATTATTTAAACTTCTTTTGTGATCTGTTGATTATATCATATGAACAAAGCTCTTCTACTCTGTGCTACTTTGAATTGACTTTAAATTGAAACAGTTCATTATCAATACTTTTGTGTCATCTCACAGCTTTTTAGGTTTTTATCATCCTTTGAACTGGTCTCTAACTTCTCCACTGGGAACTAACATTCTGTCGTATTATCACACATATTTACACAAAAGCTGCCTGTGTTTCAGTTTCCGTACCTTCATTCATAGGTAAGTAACTTTTAATCCCAGCAAACACAAAGCTTGTCATTCAGAGCTGTGAGTGTAAACATGCTGTCCCATTATTTATGCAGAGATAGAATTATCCATAATATTATAATTTGTTAGCAAATTTGGTATAACCACTTCTGAGCCCTATATGCTTTAGAAATACTAAGAGCAAAGAAAAGAGTTGGAGAAGCGGTGAAGGGTGAAGGCAACAGTGGTGCCTGTGGTAACCAGAGCACTTGGGTCAATGACTCCCAATTTGGGTGAGTGACTCCAGCATCACTATCCGGCATAGTGCAGTCCTAGGAACAGCAAAGCTAGGGCACACAAGCACTCAGGCCTTTTAAGACCTAATCATCCAATGGTTACGTTTCCAAAAATATCTTTTGTTGTTTTGCTTTCATTTCAGCAGCTAACGATTCACATCCATCCACAGCTAGTTGTTGGGTAATTGTTTATTTGTTTTCATCTGATTTTTATATTTTTATGTTTGTTTGTTTTTATTTTAGCTTGACTAAGGTCTCTGTGAAGACTAAGTCCACTTAATAACTCGCAGGGCTTTCAATCACTTTATTTTCCATATCAAGATCTCATGTTTATCTGATATTATCACCTGGGACAAATAAAGGAAAAGTAAAAAGATAAACACCTGGTTGAACTACCTTGGAAAACGAATCTTAAAAGGTCCTGTTTTCAGCATTTTTAACTACACAGATTTTTTACCGACTTGCAGACTTACTTCCTCATTCTTTGCCTATTAGTAAACCTTTAAAAGAACTTGAAACTCATTTCTGCACTGACATAATATTTGCAGTGATGAAACATAACGTTTTTTTCTTCGCTTTAACTGTTCGCCCACAGTGTTTACTTTTTTGAGTCATGTGTTTCATAGTTCTCAGTAATTTCCCATTTACATTCCTCAGGAAACAAAAAACAACCAACTAACACTGTTGTGTACTATTCTTGCTAAAGTCTGTGGTTAAAATAGTGCATTGTTTACAATCCATGTTTTCTCTCACAGGTGTGGACTATTGCCGTCATGTTTTTAAGTAAAAAAATCAAAAGGCTGCCTCACTTGTTTACAGTTAACCTTTTCTTTGCACAGGTAAGCATGGTATTGCATTCATGAAAAACTAATAGCACCATTAATGTCTAATATGTCTAATGATTAAGTAAATCATATAAATCATATCTATATGAAGGAACTCACCTGTGGGCATTCAAAAATGACTAAGTGCCTGTATTTGTTATTTTGTTCTCTGTAGGTTCTGACTTGCATTGGGATGATCTTGTGGAACTTCGTAGTGAAGGAAAATAACTTCATTGGTCAGGTCCTGACTTTCACCTTATTATGTACCTCACTCTACAGCACTTTTATATGGCCAGGTACGCACACTACCATCTACCACAGGAAACCTACATTGAACTAATTCACGTTGGTTCATACTGGTGAGATGTATCTGTAGTGTGACTACAAATTTTGAAATTGATGTTTTGTTGTTTTAAGGTTTGATAGCACTCTCACTTGTGCTCTTGAAGTCTGAGGATCTGAAAGTTTCACCGGGCATGTTGGTCATTGCGGGCTGGGGGTAAGAGGAATGTGCACAGACTGGAAAACACGTCACTTTGGTTTAGACTGACATTCATGATGCAATCAACAATGTAAATGAATGAATATATCATAATATAATGTGATTTTGCATGACACCAACTCACTTAAAATTAAATAGTAAAAAAATGTATATCTGCAACCAAGTGTCATGCACGTTGTTCAGGGTAATCCCATTGACCTGGTTTTTATATTTTAATACTGTGACTGAATTTGAATTTATCTATGGTTGCAGGATTCCAGCTTTAATAACTGCAGTTTTGCTCATTTGTGGGGAAAAAATGTTTGGAGTCATTGATGCAGCTTTCTTCTATGGCAGAGCACAGGTAATAATACCCGGCGAAGTCATTTTCCTGTTTTCTGCCATGAAATTACAGATAATGAAATACAACCTGTATACAATTTGGATGTTTTCTTTCAGATAATCTGCACCACATTCGTAGTTGCCTTCAGCATATTCCTGGGAGGAGGCTCTCTTGTGTGTCTCAGCAGAGGAAGCTGGGCCCAAAATGTCCAAACTGAAGAGGTGAACTCATTTGACTCTCCAGAAGATCCTTTGATTGAAAATGAACCCGAAAACCAGACCGTGTTTGAGACTGACCCCCCACCAAGAGATCAAGGTGCGTCCTGTCAGGAAACCTTTAACAGACGCTGCTGGCTTCATTAGTCTGAAATCGTCAACAGTTAGGACGTTGTCAGATTAATGGATACTGAATATCTGAGGCACTAAATAAAGACCTTATCTACAGGTCATCTACACTTAAGTTCAACACAGTTCAACTTGTCTGTGGCATTCAACTCATTCCCATCAAAAACAATTTCAGTTAAAGTAGAAATGGTCTTCAGTTACCAAAGGACAATATATACATGCACACAGAATCATTCCTCAGAGGAATGACAGTAAGTTTCAGATTTGTTAAAATTCCATATCACCCACAAAATTACTCGCTTGTACAGGCAAAGAAAGGAATGTGAGAAAAGAACAGATTACATGCAGTGCTTTTGTTTTGACTAAATGCGAGAGTCATGGTCATAGTTCCACTGTAAACAACAAACTCTAGTATATGTAAACCAGTTCTGCAAGTAATGAGGAGAAACTATTTGAACCGCTTAATAAAAGACTCCATTATTTGATTGAAACACAAGCATTCGTAATTCAGTTTTTACAAGATCCCTCGTACCACTGACTGAAATGCAGCTCCAAACCCGATACCTCCAACATGTTTTACACATGGTTTGTAGACTGTCACAGTTGTACCCCTCTATCTGTTGCATAATTTGACGTACCTCAGCCTTTTCTCCGTGTTTAACTTCCTTCAGAATTACTTCTTTGCCAAGTTGTCTTTTAAGCATAGGCACAACTCTGGGTCATTCCTTCCATTTGGTGCTTTTTTTGTGTTTGACCGATTCATAGTAGAGTGTTAGGTCACAAAACATTTCTCTGAAAATGGCCAGGTACAGGGACTAAAAAAGGAGTGGAAAAAGCAACCGATGTCCAAAGAAAAACTTTGAAAGACCTTCTGAAAGCCTGAAAAACGGAGGCTTGAGACATTTTCACAGTAAAAGTCATAGTATATGTGTAATATTGTATAGTATATACTGTCACTGACCTGCATGCTTTTGTATTTTACAAGGGTTTGTATTTATCTATTTGTGTTCTGCTGCTGCCCCCCTCAGGTCAGTGTGAGAGTGGGTGCGAGTCCACAGACTGCCTCCTTGTCCAAGTGGAGGAGCTCCAACAGGTTGCAGACAGACAAGTGGCCCGTCATGTGTCTGCTTCTGACTGTCAGCCTGCTTGCTGTGAGTAAACAACCACCTTTCAGTTCTACAGTAACATGAAGTCAGCCTTCATCCGCCTGCATTATTATATTTAGTGCATCTTGAACCAAATCAGATACAAATGGCTGAGCTGTGTAATTTCCAACTCCTGTCACTGGAAGACTTTAAGAAACACATTCAGAGACCCCATTAGAAAAGTCATGTGTCTGGCTTTATATTTACTGTTGCATTCAATGTTACATATTTTTATTACTGTATGAAGAAATAGTGTATTAGGGGCATGTAGATTTTTTTTAAGAACTTACATGAAAAAGATACTTGGAATTCCCGCAGATAAAAAAGATGAATTTATGAAAAAAAAACCATTAACATATGTATAGAAAACACTTAAAATGTCTTTTTCTTTTAACGAATGCCCACTCAGCTGGTTCTACAAGCTGGTTCAGTGAACAGCGTTAGTTACCATTTCTAGTTCAAAGGTCTTCTTACATCCTGTTTTCACAGAATTTGTCCAGCTGCGTGTGGCTGCTCTTTAACCACAATCCTGGTAGACTCTACTTGGAGTTGCTCTTCTTTTGTGCTGTGGTCAACTATGGACAGGTTTGTGTTAGAAATATCCTGTTACCCACTCACACCCACAGCACTAAAGTCATGCTTCTCTTTTCCTGTTGACAGGGACTTCTCTCCTTTGCTCTTTTTGGGCTGGACAAACATTTGATTTTACTGCCAGTTAAGAGGTAAATGGCTTTTATATGAAACTGCCAAATTATTAAGCACATTCAAAAGTTTTTATACAAAGATGCTTTTCTGCATATCTTGGTTGCTCCCTTTCTATCACCTCAAAGTAGTCTGTTCATTCTCCTCTGAACTCTGAGGAGTTTTTACACAGTGTTTTTACAATATATTACGGTGTTCACTGATTTAATTTTGTTCTGTGTTTAGATTATACAGTCTGTGGTATGGAAAACAAGAAGAGCAGCCACAGAGTGATTTATCTGAGGAGATCAGGATGACCTGCACCCAGTTCACCAAATACCACAAGCAGCAGTGTTTTCATGACATCGTTAAAAAGAGAAGGTGAGAGCACATTGTCTTACTGACCACTGCTCTGGGTAAAGACTGATGATAAACATGGTATTTATAGTGTCTTTCTGTTCTAATGGACACTCAACGCACACAAAAAGCCACATTCACCCAATTATACAAGTGCTTTTTAAAATTTCCTAAGCACTTTGTCATGCACACACAGTGGGTTCAGTATTTTGCCCAAGGGTACCTTTACGTGCAGGGATTGAATCACCGCCCTTCCGATTGGTGATCAGCTTGTGCTACCTCCTGTTAATGTCTAGGCAAACCTTTGCTGATGCTCGGTGACTCACAAACCACAATACCTTCAAAACAAAATTATTCCTGATTCAGTCATTTTTCTGTGTGTGGGTTCTGTCTGCTCCTCTGTTTCTTGTGGCTCCTTTTACAGACAACTATCCTTTGGGTGAATTCTTCTTTTGACTTTCAGGTGTGGAAAGAAGACTATGGTGGACTGTTTTCTTGGCTGTGAACTTGTTGAGTGGCTTCTGCAGGTTGGTTTAGCTCAGGACCGTGGCGAGGCTGTACTCTATGGGATGCGATTACAAGAGGGTGGTGTGCTCCAGCACATCAAGCAGGAATACAGCTCCCAAGATAGTCCGCTGTATTATCGCTTCATGGCATAAGCTGCTTGCATCAAAGAAAAAGGTTTCTTTTAACCTAAAAGAAAATCAAATCAGTTCGAACAGGAAATTCCTGTACAGCAAGAGACTCAACGTACTATTACTAAATTCACCATCGTGGCACAGTGATAGCAACGAGGACCCCTGTCGGCAATGTGAGAAATGTTCAAAGTGCTGCACACTCTCATTCAAAATGTTTGTTGTCTTTACATCCAACATTTCAAGTTCATTTCTGAGACACTGAGTCACGGCTACAATGCTAAAACTTGAACACGAGCCATAAATAAATTATTTTAATCTAAATCCCAAAAAGTTCATTCTCATTATCAAGAAACTGACCTCACAGCCATGTTTGTCACATGTTTGCCAGTGGTGCCAGTGCAAATGTACTGTTTATGTTGGGGAAACCTGCCGTCAGCAGACACTGAAGAAGTCATTTGTATGAGTGACGAAACGTTTCTCCCACTGAAAACACAACGTCCAGATGACTTGGTATTCAAAGTGTGTCAGTGTATACTGTATGTGTCACACTGGATAAAAGGGGAATTCTAAATTTCAAGGAATGAACCTTTCAAAAGTTTAATGTTTTTGTTTTTACACCATAGATTTGATTTGACTTTGTTTCATGCCATTCTGTGAGTGATGAAGCACACAGAGGTGTATGTCCAAAAAGTCGCTCCTCTACTTAATCCTTTTCAATCCTAATTTCTACAAAGACACTTTTACATGTTTTGTTAGTTTTTTACTAAAAATCACTCACCAAATGAATAAAGGGGACAAATGATGTTATTTGATGTTATTTCTTTGGAAACCTTCACTGGATATTATTTATGAAGTTTTAACCAGAACTATAATTGTTAACATAGCAACTGCTGGCCAGTTTGATTAAAAAATGTCATTTTTCAGTCATCATATTGAAACATAATGTGGTAGCAATATACAATGAAAATGTATATCTTCTGAGCGTGATGGGAAAACACTTTTAGGAACAGCTGCAGATCTTCTTTTCTCTCAAGGTAACAAAATATATAAGGCGCATTTTCTGTGGCAAAATTTTGTTTTATTAAACCAAATTTTAATAAAATGCATGCAATTCAAAAATGCATCATCACACTTTGGCTGTATATTCATAACGTGTTTAAAAACAAACTTTTATTACAAAAGATTTCATTCTTGCATTATGTAATGCATTTGTTATGGAACATTTCTCATCAATGATTCATTAAATAAGAGTCAAGACTTTAATGTCATGGGATTTAAGAACATTACACTCTCTTCAACTTTCTAAGCAATAGTTCTGAACAGTATCCTGTTGTTTTGCAGGTTTATTGCACAAGCATTTTTGTACTTGATTAAAACGTAAAAAGCAGAATGCCTTCTGCTAGTGTCAAAGTGTGGAACTACGTTGTGGCTCTGGCCTCATTTTTGGCTGTAAACAGAAAGCTCCCTCTGGATAGAACTTGAAAACAAGTTCACCAGAAAATCTGGGCTCTCAACACCATGTAAAAGATGTTCCTCCATCTCTTTTATCATCTCCTTCTCCAGCTGCCTCATACCTTCTGTGATCTTCCTTCCTCTGTCCTACAGAGAAAGGAAAAAACACAAGTTGCACACGTTCAGAAAAAAGGCCCACACAAGACAAAATAATAATTTTACATAAATCGCAGGCTTGAATTGAATTAAACTGCAAAACCTTGTGGGACTCAATGATGGCAGCCACCAGTTCATGTTTGACAAACAACTCGTGCTTGCGGTCAGGCTTGCTCTGGAAGCGGGGTTTCTTCTTCACAGGGTCATCTAGGCCGTAACTCGGGGAAGACGTCTCCTTTAACGGGTGAAGGTTTTTCACGAAAATGAACGGTTTGAATACAGACCTGTTGTTACAAAAGAAGAACCCAGGAGATCATCAGTAGAAATGCATTGGAAGAGTGCTTTAAGCGCTAAAATAACATTAAGTACTATACCTTTCAGGATCTGGAGTTGCTGTAAAATAGTGAACCCCTGGCAGATCGGGATCCGTGGGTATCACAGAGACCATACTTCCTGTGGTCATGAACATGCCTTCCATGTTGATGCCACTATCTTTATCCCTCAGGATATCCATCATTGTCTCTGCTGTGATATGACCTTCAGTAAATAAAATCACACCAGTGGTGCAGATTATGTAACCTTTGTCCTCCTGTGACCCCAATTTTTCTGAGTGTGTTCATTGACTAACCGTTGCTCTTTTCCAACAACTTCTTCCCCTCACAGTATCGGCTCCCAGAGGCTTCTATTCTGGCTGTAGTCATAAAGGAGTAGACCGTGGCAAAGTTGAACTCAGTCTTCCCATCCCACCAGCCCTTACTTTGGGCATACGCCCTCATTTCAGGATGCTCCTTGTCTATCTTAATGGTGATGCCATACTGGTTTGAGATGTTGCGATATCCACCTGTAGAAGAGGAAAACATGAGCAGTCACTAAAATTAAATCTATTTTACTCTAACTTTCCTTTACTGAGGTAAAAAAAACAAAAAAAACACAAACAAAAACAACAACAACCGTCCTTTAAATGTTAGAAAGTATTCTGAATAGGACAGCCAGCACTCTCTGGTGGTCAGAATGTGTAAGTACATCTAGGACAGGTTTTGGTCTTGTTAAATCTCAAACACACCTCTTTCTTTCCATATATACTGAAATTAAAAGCTGAGACTTTGCCCTTTAATGTAGTAACCACTATTTTATTCCAAAGGACATAAAATGTGTGTAATTTTTGTATTTGTTCTAATGCCACGTATAGACTAATGTATCTAATCTACTTAAATTATCAGTGTAAATATCCAACTAATGTGCATTTTGTTATGAGGCTCACCTCTTGAGTCCTGCAAAATTTGCAGACTGCAGAGTAGTGAGCGATTCAGTCCTTTTGTGCTTTTTATGCCTTTTAATACCCATAAATGTGCACACACTGAAAATATTTATTCATCTTCTCTTCTGAATTTAACAGCTCCCATCCATTATTCTTTTTACTACTACTTATCACAAACATTATATAAAAGTTACTGGTCTATTTAGGATGTCTACTTTCCCAGAGTATTCCCTGAATTGGCCAAAGAAGTCTTATGTTCAGAGTGAACTTTTTCTTTCCAATTACCTTCGACTCTTTCTGCTGCCCAGTACTTTCCTGACGTTTCCAGGAGCCATGCTTCCTTCCTGTCTGAGATGAGGAAGCTGTTGTGGTAGGTGAAGCTACTTTCATCCTCCATGCACGATCCTCCCTGACCGTACTTCTCCAGCAGCTCGGTGATAACGGTCACTGCGTTCTCAGCTGTATCAGCTCTCTCAAGTCCAAGCCTGTGAAATTGACAAACAAAATTTTAAACGGAGACCATGCCATTACATTTTCTTTTGCACATCAGGATACATTAAGCTAAGTATATAGATACTTTAAAAAGCAGACAACTTCTATACAGGCGGGTTTACCTGACGAGATCCATGCCGAGGAGAGCCTCCTCGCCATCTGCACTCTGTCGGCCCCACACTGCTTCATTTCCAATGCACACTTGATGCTCATTTGCACCCATCTCTGCCCCCCACAGCCATGCTGGTCTGCTCAATACAACTGCATAAGTGTGGGCGACCTGCTCAATCTCTATATATGTGCACTTTTCACAAAAAGAAGAACACACAAGGGCAAAAGGTATTAATGGTTATCAGCTGGGACGCTCCGCAAGGAGTAGCACTGTGGTAGACTGAAGGTTGGAGGGCAATGATATGGTCTCTTTATTACCTACCTCAACCTTCTCCCCTGCAGCATAGTCTGTGGCAGGAAAATACACAACCTCCTGGACTTCATCGCAAGGCCTGTCAGAGTTTTTCCCAAAAATGATGCGCTGTCCCTCAGTGGATGGGGGCAGAGCCACAAAGGTGTCACACGAAGATGGGCGCATATTAATCCCAAACTATCTAAAAGAAAGGTCTTAGTTATCCAAGACAGTTTTCACTGGTGCTCAGATTTAGCAGATGTAGTAAACCGTAAACACACAAAGTCACTTGTAAGCCCTGTAATGTTAATATACTGTTGACGTATAGCGCTGAATAGCACATAAGCAGACTTACCCAGCGTTGTTACCATCAGTTTCTATTCTCGTGCGTTTCTTTCGTCTGTCAAAGTTCACAAACGCGGAAACAGTGCAGTCACGTGACCGAGATGAAGTCAGTTTCGTTTTCGTAGTTAAAAGAATTGCGCACAACTGTTGCTGTCAGTTTTATTCTTATGTACGTTTCACTTCACTTTATCAAAAGAGATAAAAACATAAGAAACTAGTGTTCCAGTTTCTCAAGGGGATTAAAAAACGTTAACAGAGAGAGAGTTATTGTGTTTAGGCCTGTGAGAATAAAACGGTTTTAAGTTTTCTTTTGAATTCAGACACTTTTCTTATTGAACTCAGGTCAGCAGGCACATGTTTCAGGACCACAGATCTGCACCTGAAGACCCGAGAAGTCTAGTTGGATTAAAAGCACTGAACAAGTCATTGGTCCTAATGTACTGGGTGGCCAAACCATTGAGAGTTTTTCTTAATTAATTAGTAATTAGTAATTTAAATATGGCCTGTATTTATATAGCGCTTTACTAGTCCCTAAGGACCCCAAAGCGCTTTACATATCCAGTCATCCACCCATTCACACACTGGTGATGGCAAGCTACATTGTAGCCACAGCCACCCTGGGGCGCACTGACAGAGGCGAGGCTGCCGGACACTGGCGCCACCAGGCCCTCTGACCACCACCAGTAGGCAACGGGTGAAGTGTTTTGCCCAAGGACACAACGACCGAGACTGTCCAAGCCGGGGCTCGAACCGGCAACCTTCCGATTACAAGGCGAACTCCTAACTCTTGAGCCACGATCGCGCCAAAATAGTATTTTCACATTCCCGTGTAAGGACTATGACTGCTGCTTTCTGAGCAAGATGAAATCATTCTTCTAATGATTCTACAAAAAACAACAACAACAACAACAAAAA